GCTGGAGGCGCTCACTCATTCCCCTCCCCTTTCCTGATCTGCCGGACTGCATGCTCAGATATGGGACTGGTATGGATTTTGGGAGGGACCCCACACCATTATTTTTTTAAATTGTGGCATGGGGGTTCCCCTCAAAATCCATACCAGACCCGAAGGGAATGGTATAGACTGAAAACCCCAAAGTATCTCCATCATATACCTTTAAGACCACTTATATGTGTTACAGGATTATCAGTGATCTGATCTGAGTTCGAGGTATGACGAAGATGCAGCCTGTAGTATCTGTATCAAGAGGAGAGCACAAAAACACATGTTGCTCACTTGCTCATTCTGAGTTAAATGTGTTAATCAGAAATGGATCACATTATACAGATAGTTACTTTCTTATAGTAGCAGCACAGGCCACATGGAAAAATGCATTAATTTGTATTAATGTATTACCATTACTAACATATAGGATAATAAACAGAGAAAGGGAATGTCAAACACAAAGGTGAACAAAGATATCAACGATATCATAAACCAAGTGTGACAAACTTGTATCAAGAGGAGAGTACAAAACACATGTTGCTCACTTCCTCATTCTGAACTTAATGTGAGCTTGTTTGTATTAGTCTCCTGAAGTGACACTACAAATTATTAGAGCTCCCTCTAGTTGCAGGAATAGCATTACTAGGAGGTTTATTCATTTACTTGCTACATATGCAGCTGCTGATATCTGATTTATGGCTGGACAAGTGTGTGAGGCTTATTTGTCATAGACTGACACATAAAATTGCAGGTTAACACCAGAGCAGTAGATGAGTGTAAATGTCTTCAATATGGTTCCAGAAAGCAAAAACAAAACACACACAATATTTAACATCTATACTTATTTCTCATCTCACCTCTGTGCACTGTTGCTGTGGTTATTGTGCAAATTATAGAGACTTTTTGGCAGATGTTAGGTACCCCAACTCAAAAAATAACAGAGGCATCAACAGAGGTCATTAGGTTTGTGAGAATATTTCTGTTGCTATAATAATGAAATATACATTTTAGTTACAAAAAAAATAAAAAAGTCTTCTAATTTTTTTTTTGCAATACAAAATTTGGCTTGAGTGGGGTACAAATAAAATTTTGAACAATTTTAGTCTGATCTAACTGGGGAATTTTTTCCACTTGCCCTATCATTTTTGATACCAGAACAAAAAATAGTTCAGAGGGAGTCTGGGAGGGAATGGTTGTTACTGAGGGCTTTATTTACTAAAGCTAGTTCAGTCAGAATCTCGTGAACCTGTGCATGGTAACCAATTAGCTTCTAACCTCAGCTTGTTCAATTAAGCTTTATCAATAAAACCTGGAAGCTCATTGGTTTCTATGCAGAGGTCCACAATATTCTGAGTCAACCAGCTTTAGTAAATAAACCCCAGTGATAGGAAAGCACAGACAGCAATACAACAATTTTAGATGTTCTAACCTTTCGCCTCTCTACTAAAAATATCTTTGTTTGTGTCCTCATTGGAGAGAGTTGCTCTCACCCTCTTGACATGAAGTACGTAAATATCTCCCTAACAGGTATAGAGACAGCAATAAAAAACACTAAAAAAGCAGGACTATAACTCTTTTCAAAATCTAAATAAGTTCTGGCAGGAGTTGGGCTTGAGATCTGGCTAGAGTTGGGCTGGAGTTGAACTGTATTGTATTGGTTTTACTCCAGGGCAGGGACAGGGGCTAAAAATTGTACTACATCTCCTAATGCTAAGACAATTCCTGTATTATTTTTACAGAACCCAAGAAATATATATACACATTACTATAGGTTAAACTGAAGCCACCACTTACAAGTAAGGCAAAAACAGTTCATAGAGGAGTTTTCGGACTCTCATAGAGATACAAAAAAACTATGACTAACACAGCTTTGACCTTGATATTTTTCTCTGCCTGTTTGTAACCTATGGTTAAGAATAAGAAAAGTTTAGATTTACTTAGTTGAGCGATCAATCACAAAATGAAACCGTCTGGCAGGTGTGCTCCAAAGTTTGATTTTCTCATTAATGTGTGACACCAGGGAGGAAAGCATACAATAGTATCAGCTAGGTTGTGCAAAGCACTTCTCACAATGAATGAATAGTTACATTGGGTAAAGCTGCTGGAAATACTAACAAGGCATAACATGGCTCATTCCCAAAGACAAATCCAGACTTAAAACAAGATTGCATTGGGGTTTCAAGAGCAACTGAAAGCAGTGGAATGTTATCTTTGCAATGCAGCTGACCTGCATACAGTAGGCATTACAGTGTATTCACAAAATTTTCATTTTCTGCACGTAAACTTCCAGAATTAGAATAAAAATATAAAGACATTAAAAAAATAAACAGCAAGGTGGAGATGCCACCCATGCCCATGTTATGCATTCATATTAAAAAAAATAAAATTTTATATGTATATATATATATATATATATATACCATATCTATCTATATATCCAAAATGTTCCTTGCAAAGCCTTTATTGCTTTCCTGGAAAATCTGGGATAGTTGTATGTACGTATGAATCACAAATTGCTTAGATGTTTAGCACTACCCATCCCATGTGATTTCAGGCATATAGATAGCAATAATAAACCCAAAAGCAAACATCTATCATATTGCAGCTTACCAATTCTTAGATGTATTGCTTGCCTTTTTTATGCCTTCTTTTTTATTTTTACCTGGTGATCCTGTCGTTAAATTTTTTACAACAGAACAAGCTTTCCTGCAGATACAGAAGTTAGAGGGTTGAAACAAACCATTTACCATTGACAGGGGTGCTTACAATGATCAACTTTTATTTATTTACTCCAAACAATGTTGAAGTCAAAGGGGGAAACCGCAGCACCATGTCCATACAGATACATATAAAACGACAGGAGAGAACCACGCTCCTTCAAATTTAGGACTTAGGTGCAAGGTCATTCAAACGTCCACAATTTTCAAGATAAAAGCACTAATGATTTTATTGCATGTATAAATTTTAAATACAATGTGAAATTGCTTAAAAACAATACAAGACATAATGTTCAGTAAATCTCACAGATGATAGTTCCAACCATTAAACATACTGTGTGATGAATACCGACATGTTTCACCCATTGGGCTTCCTCAGAGTTATGAAAGAACTTGTCTAAATTTGAGAAAGGTGGTATACGATTATCTCCAGATAATTCAATAAGTCCCCCCACAGGTAGAGACGGAGGGTAGTATTCGGTGTGCTGCAGAAGGGGCACACAAGGCCAGAACCTGGTAATTATCCTATATGGGAGTACTGGTTTCCAAAGGAGGATAGTCTGTACATCATGCAAATAGAAAACATCCAACAAGAGGCAGAAAAAACATATATCAACATGGACTTCTCTCCAAAGATTCAGCATTAAGTTGATAACAGCATGTCCCACCACCACCATCTAACACTCCCCTTCCCCCAGACTGGGAATGATGCTGTCCAAAAGTATCTCTGTGCTCCTTCATCCAGAGTGGGGACACTTTAATACAGGAGGTGTGTTACTGGCCAGATCACTAGATGAAAACAGAGGGAAGAAAGCTTAAAAAGAAAACTAATGTAGTTATCACAATCTGCAATATATTACATTTTTGCTTTGGGGATTAATACCACTTTAAGTAGTTGAGAGTCTAATATTTACTTCAATTATACAATGATATAAAAAACAACTTGTACTTTGTGTCATTTCTGTCTGCTGCCATGTTCCTCTGCTATCAGCATGAATAATTTCTAACAAGTTTTCCTGACACTAAGAAAGAAATGGTGACAGGGGAGGGACCTCCAGCAGAGTGACAGCTCTGTTCCTGTGTGTAATTTCAGCTTTCCGTCCTTTTTTCTGAACTATCAAACAAGCTTTATACATTTAGCACTTTGAACGGATGTAGAGAAGAGAGCATATACTATAAACAGGTACACCTTATCTAGGAGGATTTGTTTCATCCCTTTGTATCACTTGAGACCAGTCACTTCACTGGGTATATGTAAGGGTTTACAACCACTTTAATTGTGTGAAGATTCTTATCTTCTTTAGGAAATCCACTCAATAGCTGTAAAGCAGGTTGCACTTCTAAAGGGATTCCCAGGGCTTTCGTTGCTTTCGGTTATGTTTGTAAAGTTATGGCTCCAGGATGGGGGTGGGGGGGCATTAAAGTCCAAATCCCCAGCCACCTGCTGGGGATTAAAATGTTTAACAGTGCCGCAGACCTGCTGGTATAGAGGCATGTATATTTTAGCAAAGCTGACTGCCAGCTTTCATATGGAAGTGGTACAAATGGCTGTGAAGTCATCTATCACTTCCACAACTACCACTGCAATGTGCCAGCCCAGGTGCGTCCCACTCGTCCGCCATGTTTACCGGGCTCCGCTGTCCCACCTGTGAACCAGGTGCAATCATGACGAATGTCAATTGGAAGATCAGCAAAATGCCCCCTTCCCTCAGAAGCTCTAAAAATGAAGGGCGCCAGTCACTTTTAGATAAAAAAATAAAGAACAGGCTTATTACTCATGGTCAGGGAGAAAAGGGTTTATCTCTCAGATGCTCAATCTTCAATTAGAACTCCAGCACAGAATATTTGCATACAGAAGAGACTCTTCCATATTAAATACTAATACTCCAGTGTTAGTATCCTCTCCATAATCGTCACTAGTAACTTTAGGAGGTGTCCTCCAGGAGACTCTATCAGCATTACCTGGGACTCCCATCCTGGTCCACACTACTCAGGAAAAACTTTACGTACCTTTCCTTTAGACTTCCCCAGGAATGCAAACCTAGTATCCACTCCAGATAGGCTTCTTCATGCAGGCAGGCCTGACAGAGCAGCTCCATCACATGCACCCAGCCCCAGGCCAGAGTCCAGGGGGAAGAGAGCTTGCAGCAGTTTTCCGATAAATATTTATACCCCTACCCAGCAAGCATCTTTGACTCCAGAAACTCCTAGTGGTTGCTTAGTCAGATATAAATATTCATAAGTCTTGTAAAGTAAGGCAAGACTAAAAATTAATAATGGCTGGTTGCAGCCATACAGACTAAATTTAGGAGTCATTCCTGCATATGGCAGGATGGCTTCAGATTTAATATATGAATGGTTGCAGTCAGGGGCGGACTGACCATTCGGGCACTAGGGCACTGCCCGAGGGCCCAGGGTCAGTAGGGGGCCCCATGAGATGCCCCTAGTACCTTTCATAGGCTTTTTTGGGTTTGGGTTGAGGACACAGGGGCCCCATGATCCCCTATTGCCTGTGGGCCCCATGAGTTGTCCTTCCCTGGTTGCAGTTGTAAAACACTAAACGGAAGAATTCAGAAATACAGCAGATACAAGCTAATAGTCCGCAGGTCAAAGCTAACTTATCAACATCTTCTGCTAGTGTCAGGACATTTATGCCTGCTTGATATATTCTTCTGTTAGATTTATTCAGAAGAAAGATAATCTGCTTGAACAGGAAGGAGTTACGATATACTAAGGGATTTCTTTGAGGAACAAGAATTTTCCATACCTTTTCTCATTACTGATGAATAATCTACTGATTCATGCCCATCTTAAGCAATAAAAATCTAACTATAATGAACAAACCAGCATTTTTCTCTCCACTCAAACACAGCTTCACACGTAAATGCCCCTATATTGACATTATAAATGTCTGTGTATGGTGGTTAAATGCAGGGCAGGCATCTGTCACTCTGTTTTGCTGTATAAGGTATAAGATTCAATTTTAGTCCCAAAGTATTCCTGGAAAACAGTAAATTCTCTGACTTATCAGAGTTGGTGATGCATTCAGAATTGATGTCTCTGTCATCGCTTGGAATGATTTACATTGTACTATGCAGAGCGTACACTGCAAAATGGCATTGTCAGACTCAGCCTGTCACTATTTAACCAGATAAAATCTATGTCTTGTGTCCTTCGCACTCAAGCATGATGCCTCCACATAAAGTCAGTTGCTGGGTTTGCACCTTTTACCACACTACAGAGAATCCAATACAGGTGATGTATACAAATAATGTAAAAAAAAGGAGAAACAATGTCAATGACCTAGCGTAGTAGATTGACCAAGTGATGCTTAATTCACAAACTTTCCCAAATTTCTCTGCTATACAGTATCTACAAATGAGGATATTTAACCTATGTACTGCATTGATCATAGTATCATCATAATAACATTTTTGAAAAGCCCCTTTCTCAAGATAACTCAAACAGCTAGTCAGCATTTAATCATGGGAGCCTTTCTGCACATGTGCTTGCTCTTTGCCATAGAGTTTGGTGGGCATTCCATAAAACTGCATGGCAGCAGGTTGGTGCAAAGTACTATAGGAATTACACCACTACCTTAAACACATTATTTCCAAAACTAAGCTTGTAATATTTCCTCCTCCCCAATCCCCCACTCATGCCAGGATGCTAGGTGTAATCCTAGACTCTGACTTCTCCTTTGGGTCCCACATCCAATCACTGGCTAAATCCTGCCACCTAAACCTCTGCAACATTTCCAAAATCTGTTCCTTTCTCACCAATGACACCACAAAACAACTTATCCATGCCTTGGTTATATCCTGCCTTGATTACTGCAACTCCCTCCTCACTGGTCTACAGTTACACAGGTTATCCTCCCTTCAGTCTATTATGCATGCTGCTGCTAGACTCATACACCTTACCAACCGATCAGCGACTGCTTCCCTTCTCTGCCAAACCCTTCATTGGCTTCCACTAACCCAACATATTAAATTCAAAATACTAACCGCAACATACCAAGCCATCCACAACATTGCCCCTAGCTACATCACCAGCCTCATCATCCAAATCGCCCACTCCGCTCCTCGCAAGACATCTTGCTCTTTAGTTTCCTTTTCACCTCCTCCCACGCTCACCTTCAGGACTTCTCCAGAGCCTCTGCCATCCTCTGAAATTTCCTACCCAGTATGTCCGGTCAGCCCCCACCCTGTCTGCCTTTAGGTGAACTTTGAAAACTCACTTATTCAGGGAAGCCTACCCCACTTCCACCTAAGAACTGTACTTGAGCCACCTTCATCAGATCATCCCCCACAACTATCACCTTTTGTACCAACTCCCCCTTCCTTTAGATTGTAAGCTCCACGAGCAGGGCTCAATTATTCCTTTTGTACTGTATTGTAATTGTACTGTCTCCCTTTATATTGTAAAGCACTGAGCAAACTGTTGGCGCTATATAAATCCTATATAATAATAATATAGGAATGCTAAAATGAAAGTTAAAGAATCCTGCTTACTAAATTGAAGGATGAGGGGAAGGAAAAAACAAGCTTTTTATTCCGAATCTACTGATACCATTTATAGCATGGTTTACTATAAATACATAAAAAAGAACACCAGAGGGTACTAATCTAAGTGTAGCTTAAAAACATATTTATTCAAAGAAAAAGACAGATGGCAACTCACACAGTCAAAGATATCAAACGCATGTCGTGAGTCATCTCAGCCTGAACTACTGTTGTCTCCAAAGTATGTATATTGATTCAGGCCAGTTTTCTCAAACTATCAAAGAAGTGTGAGTGTGTGTGTTATACTATTTATTTTTCCATTTCACCTTAAATTGTATTATTTGTTATATATTTGGATTACACTCACATGTTTTTAGCTTTTATTTTATGTTTGTATAACACCCATTATTTAGTAGTACTGCTAAAGCTTGCAGTTCAACTTGTTTATAAATAGCAATCCTTGCAGATGATAGGCAGGCTTGAGAAAGGAACCCAGCGACTACAAAACGTGTAGCTACACCCCCTGTGCATCTTCTGGTGTGTGACATCATCCCCTGTCTCTCTGCGCTCCAGGGAGTTCTCACACTTACTTGGCAGTCTGACAAGCCCTGGTCTGTGGCAGTATTCTATGATTTCTGGCCTGAAATGGTTCACATATTCTGGAGAAAGCGGTAGTACCTACTGAGATGACTCATGAGATGCCCTCTGTATCTTTGATTGTGTGAGTTACCATTTGTCTTTTTCATTGAATAAATGTGTTTCTAAGCTACTATTATATTAGAGCCCTCTGGTGCTCCTTTTTACATATGTATCCAAAGATTTTCTTCAGTTTCTTGAGGTGCTGCAGCAAGTGTATAAGATGAAACAGTGTTAACCCTTGATGTACCACAATGGCTTTTATGTCAGGAGCATGTAACGCTCCTGACCCATGGTAGCTGCAGACCTCATTCCAGCATCCTGGTTTTGGCTGAGATGCACTCTCCTTGTTTGACTGTCCACCTGCACTGTGATTGTTAGACAAAGCCTCTGGGTGGTGTATAAAACCTGTTTTAATCCTGCCAAGACCTCAGTGTCATACTTGTGATGGTGTTTGCAACACATGCTTCAAACTCCGTTTTTCTGCCTCATTCCCATGGCTTGACCTTCAGCTTTGTCCGAGCCCTGCCAGCAAGTTTAGAATTTCTTCTTATCAACCTTGGATTGGACGTCTGACTATGCTCTGAACTCAGCCTGCCTTTTGACCATGGATTCGACCTTGACTACTCTCTGACCACTGTCTGCCCTGAATGAGGATTGCCAATGGGCCACTGTGGCTCTCTGCCATATGCAAGTACCTGTCCGCTGTACTTAGTTCGTGTCCGCCCCAGCATTGTAGCTGGTAGTCCTGCTTGACTAATGGGAAAGGGAGCTGCTATAGGCAAAGAACACAGAAGCCAGCTAAAGTGCCTTACCACCAATGCTAGGCATAGGTGTGACATTTTGATGAACTTGTGCTTTTTATGTCTTTATAAACCCCGTATAATGCCTAGCGACTATTATAGTTTTTCCACCATGTTTTTCTTTTGTTTTACTCTCTAGGAGATAAAATGTGCTGCAAAGTATTCTAGTGCTTTTACATGTTTTTATAATTTGTTGTTTTCATTCATACCCTTGGGGAATTCATTCATAATAATGAATCTGCCTACCCCACCCTCACCTAACAGCCGCTCCCCTTCATTCCTCCCACCACTCCATCCCCCACAGCCACTTCCTGCTGTACCACTACCCCCTCCCTCCTAGATTGTAAGCTCAAAAGAGTAGGGGCCCTCTAACCCCTCGTGTGCTGTTTGTTGTTGCTGTACTGTTTCATGTATTTCCCCCCCCTCTATTGTACAGCGCTGAGCAAACCCTTTGGCGCTATATAAACTCGATGTAATAATAATAATATGGCATTCTGAATGATTTGTTTTCTTGTTTTGATGTTATACCTAATCATTATGAAGTGCAAGATAGACTGTCTGATTAGGCTGTAAAATGCTCAAAATTCTGCAAACTGGAAAGTAACATTATAGCCACTAATACCCAGTGGTGGGATGTGTTCTTCCTAAAAAAAATCTTGATCCCAAAATTTTTCCCCAAAGTTTTTGAATCCTAAACAGCTGTGAACTTCCTGCCAGTGTTCTAAAGAAAGAATGGGAACAACTAGCTGATGTTTGTGACTCAAAAATGGATAAACCATATCTTTACCCAGAGAAAAAGAAAATACTACTCATATCTCAATAAAGTAGTGGTACAGACTAAAGAGATTTGTAAAATCCTTTCTTGAAATGGGTGTTAGTTTTACAGAGGAATACAAAAAGGAGGAAGACTATAGCTATCAAAAGTTAATTGGATAAACTTAGAAGGGGATCTGGATGATATAATCTAAAGAACGTTTTTTGTTGGCAGAAAAAGGTACACATCCCAACATACCACCCCTGATGTCAATAAAACCTATTCCCAATTTCCATATTGCTAACATGGGAAAATATAAAGAAGTTGCACATATACTATGAGCCTGACAGGTCCCCAAAATTAAATCTTTTGCAACCAATAAGACTCTTAAAAATGGCCACAGAAAGTCCCCAAATGTAAAGTGGCTATTCCATCATTAGATCCTCTTGTCTGCTATAATTCCTACATTTCTGCTGACAAACATAATTCCAGTGATACTATAGCTAGCATACAGGACACACATTCTAGGGTTATGGATAATTAACATGAAGAACTGGTTCCACATAAGTCTCCCGAAACTACATAAGAGAGGAAGGAGAGGAGGAAAACAGAAGAACCCCCAAAAAAGAAAAATCCTGAAACCATAAAAATATTTATCCTATCCTCCCAGATACTTAGCAAACATGAGATAGCCCTTCTTAGCAGAAGCCTAACTTTCACCCCTTCTGTCAGGTTGGATCCTTTAACAACATTTAAGGATTTAAATACATTTATTAGAAATCTGACTATAAAGCAGTTTTAAAACATGAAATGGGCACCTTTACA